GGATTAGGGGCCACGGCCCGCCCAGCCAAAGCTTCTCAAATCCCACACTCACCTGCCTGAACGTCTCTTTCCACGGAGGCGAGCCCACCAATTTGTACATCGAGCGGTGCGGAGAACCAGACTGCTCTGCCATCTCCCCTCCGCGGGAGCAGCCTCCAGAAAGCCCCGCCCCTGCGGGCGCGCAGAACCCTGGGAGTTGTAGTTTCTGGTTGCTGATCGTACTACACGGTAGGGAATTCTGGGAAGTGTTCTACTGGCCGTCCCAATAAGGGGACAGCTTTGGGCAAACGAAGGATGGGTAATTGCGGGAGTGACATCCGTGAGATTAACCCACCTGGATTGAGGAAGTTAAGTCTCGAGGAAAAGCTTTGAATATCTAGGTTTACCCAGGTGGAGGTGTCCAATAAGCAGTGAGATTCACAGGAGTCAGATTCTCTCTCAGGTTCTCTAGAATCTAGACTTTTCCGCGGCCCCAAAACTTGAAACCGGCACTGGCCGGTCGACTTTCTCGTCCCGCCCCCTGGGGCGTGACTGGCGATTGGCTATCCACTAGCGCTGCCGCTGCCTGATAGGCTGGCCTCACTTTATTAGCCTAGCCTCGTGCTTCCGGGATGCCTGCTCGCTGATTCGCCGAAGCGGTGGGCGGCCGGCCGCGGATTGGCTGCGCTCAGCGGCGGGCTGAGCAATTGGGATGCGGGGAGCAGTTGGGCCAAGATGGCGACCGCCGAGGGATCCTCAGGCGACGGCGAGCTGTGGCAGACCTGGCTTCCTAACCACGTCGTGTTCTTGCGGCTCCGGGAGGGACTGAAAAACCAGAGTCCAGCCGAGGCCGAGAAGCCGGCTTCTTCATCATTGTCTTCGTCGCCGCCGCCGCTGCCGCCGCCGCCGCAGTTGCTGACGAGAAACCTGGTCTTGGGCCTCGGCGGAGAACTCTTCCTGTGGGACGGGGAAGGCAGCTCTTTCCTAGTGGTTCGCCTCCGGGGCCTCGGCAGCGCGGGGGAGGAGCCCTCACTCTCCCAGTACCAGGTACGGCCCGGCTCCTCTTGGACAGGACCCTCGTCCGGGATCCGAATAAGTTTTTTGTTTGTTTGTTCCCTCCCCATCCTGGCTATTTTTCATCTTCTGTGAGCCGTGCCGTTCCAGTGTAAGCAGACGTCCAGCCTCTGGGAGGGGCACGGTCTCTCTTTTATTTTCACTCCGCTCTAACATGGCCACGTAACCTTCCGTTGCCCCCTTTTTTGACCCGACACTGTGCCTGACACAGTTGGAGGGACTCATGCTCTCAGGTGCGTGAGTTCCTGGGACCGGGAGGAAGGGAAGGACCACGTCGAGCTCAATAAATAGCGTCCGTTACGCAGGGCGAGGGGAGGGAGCGGGTGCGGTTGCTTTTTAGGAGGTTGGTCCTGAGAAACCTCAGTAATGATGTGACACTCAAAATCGTAGGGACAGTCCTAACTTCCTTTTGGGATTGTTACGAACATCATGGGGAATGGATTTGAAAGCACCACGTTTTGTGCCTGACACAGTGGAGGAATCCCGTTATTTCATTTACTCTTTAGAAAATCAGGCCATCCCCAAGGTTGTTTGTTTTTGATAAGCCAGCAGCATGTGAAAGTGGGTGTGATCAGAAAAGGACTCCATCCTGGCTGTAATCAAGCATTGCTTTCTGGAAATGTTCATGCTGTAGGAAGGTCCCGGTGCACAAATTCCTGCACCTTGGAAGGCACTGTGGGCTGTGAGGCTGGGGAGGGCACAGGG